AAAAAAAATCCTAGGGGAAACCCTGTACCAGATATTGGTACAGAATCCCATCCCTAAATATGACCCTTGCTTTGAGAGCAGTGGTCTTAATAAAAATGTGGAGGCCAACAAAACTGAATGTTTAATCAGTTAATTTTAAAACRGTTTCAAAACTTAAAGCATTTTTCTCATTTTATTAAAGACAAATGTTGAAACATAAACTAGTGAACTTACACAAAGCTCAAATTCTCAGACCCAGRTAAATTTTACTTTTTATGAAAATAGTTATAAAACAAAAAAATAAAAAAATGTGTAAATATGAAACCTGAAGGTCTGTTTCTCATTGATTATGTTTGGTCAGGAATGTGTTCTGATTGGCTGCCTTTAGCTGAGACACTTTATCACTTTCTTTATTAAATATAAAACCTGAATGGAGCTGAAACAGGCCTGAGTGCAACAGAAACATTTGAAACACCAACCTTKTAACAAAACAAAAGTAAACAGCACAAACTACTGGTTTATGTTTTTGTACTTGCTTTGACTCCAGTCAGTAAAATAGTTTTTACTCTCTCGTGTTTGGCTCTTAGAAATGTTTCTTTAAAAACAGAAAGGATTCACTTCTTAGGTTTTGTGATGAACTGTTGCTCATCAGGTTGCTTTTGTCTGCGCAGTGCGTCATTCGACTCCACCGTGCGTCTGTGGGACGTGGAGCGCGGGGTGTGTATTCACACTCTGACCCGGCACCAGGAGCCCGTTTACAGCGTGGCCTTCAGTCCTGATGGGAGGCACCTCGCCAGCGGCTCCTTCGACAAGTGTGTCCACATCTGGAACACTCAGGTCTGATAAGAGACTTTTTCCCACAGACATGTAATAAACACGTCTGATAAAGCTGTTTGTTCACGTTACCAAACCTGTGTGCGTGCGTGCGTGCGTGTGTGTGTTTTCAGACGGGGGCTTTAGTCCACAGCTACAGGGGGACAGGGGGGATCTTTGAAGTCTGCTGGAACGCCACAGGAGACAAAGTCGGAGCCAGCGCGTCAGATGGATCGGTGAGTTCAGCTGCCTGGCTCAAAGACCGGCCTGAAACTATGAGACTATTTATTGTTTAAAGCAGCAACAATAAATAAAAATAAATGCTGAGCTCAAAGAACAAATGGATAAACAGAGAACTTAAACTGATCCTCCACTAGATGGCGCCATTAGTCCATAAACCTGACCCAGCTTGTGATTTAGGCCAGTGGTTCCCAAACTTTTTATCTTCTGACCCACAAAATAACTGTAGCAGAGACCTGAGCCCACAACTATTTTTGGATGATAAACTTTTGTATCAACAAAACATTGGCATAGTAACAATATTTTTATACTACTGAAGAAATTTATTTAGTCATTTAGAAACTGATTTTAGAAGCACCACACCATATTCATAGTTTTCCTTTTTAAGAAYTGATTCTTAAGACCTTTATATCTACGCTGAAGAGCATGTATTTATAAGCCGGGACTTCCGGTTTCTCGTCAGCGTTGGTTTCCTGCTTGCACAGACATCAGTAAACCAGTGTTCACTCCAGAGTCACTGGTGTTGTTTGGTCCATTCACTTCACATTTTAATCTGTTCAATACTGATGTGGTTTCGTCACGATTTCAGTTAATGAACACTAAATTACACTACATTTATCCATTTTAAATATACTTACCTCACTCCTTTGTAACAACTAAGGCAAAATGTAATTAATTCAGAAAATCTTTTCAGGACCCCACCTTGATGTTTCGGGACCCCACTTTGGGAAACACTGATCTAGACAATAACATCCTGTTGACTCATTCTTCSCAGGCAAATGTTAAAAATTAGTGATGATTTGAGTTGAGTTTAAAAGAAATGATTGATCTGCCTGTGGAWAGTTGTTTCCCATCAAACAAGGTCTAATTGCTGAGAACCAGTTCAGTTTCCACCACTGTTAGCTCTGGTTCTGTTAAACCAGTTCTGTCTCAACGCAAACGCTTTGGGTAAAACTTCACTTCTAGATAATTGCTTTCATCACAAATACCATTCATCCATTTAAGTTGTTTTTCTTTTGCATACAGGATGATAAAAATAGGTTCTCTAAGAAGCAAGCTGCATGTTTTTCAAAATAAAAGCYAGCTAACACAACCATGTTAAGTTTGATTTGATAAAGTGAAGAAATGATGTAGAAACACTCAGTTCAGTCTGCGGTTCTTTCTTCATTTGTCAACTGTTGCAATTGTGTTGAAAAAAAGCTTCAGAACCGGGTCATTCAGTCAGACAGAACCAGAAGGAAGCAAAATGTAAATAATTA